CTATTGGGGTCACGGTAAAATTAAGATTTATGGCCATAGGTTTCTTAATGAGTTTCAGGAGGGAAATATCATTAATAACACAGGTGCACTAAGGTGAAGTCCGCCCAGTAATTGATCCTGGCACCCATACTAACACAGGAATGATTTGTAGGTGAAGCCCCCCAGAATAGTATGCATGGCCACCACGACAGTTCTGGAGAGGACAACCTAGGGTCAAAAACTTTAACTGGGGATTATTTAACTCAACCCAACGTGAGTTAAACATCTGACTGGTGAAGACTGCAAAAGGTGAACCTCAGTTCTCCTGGCAAACATCAAATAGTAATAAATTTGGAAGTCACATTACATTTCCTTTGTCATTCTCTGCTCAGAGATGACCCACTCTCTCTTAAGAGGGTTCTTTACTCAAGCCTTACTTTCACTTATAATAAAATTCTCTTGTTTGGTTTTACATGTCTGCCTTTATATTTTTCTTTCATCAGGATACAAAAACCAAAGGTTGGAGCTTTAGCGCCTCACTCGCCTGAGACCTATCCACATTCTTTGTGTGATTCTAGGACATGGAAACTGGACATTCACATGAGACTCACCACCACCCTTAGAAAGACAGGTCTGTTTTCTCCTACAGAAACCGGCATGTACCCTGTGCCAAGCCAGGACCTCAACCTAGAACCTGTCAGCTCAGGACCAACAGAACCTCTTCTTGTCCTTCACACAGGGCTTCCTTCCTTCCATCCGGATCCCTCCCAGCCACTCCCTGTGCACATCTTGGGCACAGAGGAACAGTGGCAGGATGAGTAGACCCTGTGGCCAGGAGCATGTAGCTCCTGCAAAGCACCTTCTCAGAGGGTGAGGCTGGGTGCTGCAGAATGAAATGAGCCCAAGACTAACGCAGCAGAGGAAAGAGGTAAATGGAAGCTCACACACAGCCTCAACGTCCAGCCTAATTCCGTTCTGTAGCAGGAGGTTGGTGGGAACCAGGGAAGAAGCCAATTAGAGCCCAGTTTTAATTATTTTTTGATAATAATGAGGCTCTCACAAAGAGCTTTTGTATATCTTGTCACACACATTTGGATCCTCGCTGGGTCTTATGAAAGGGAGCTGATGAGTCCATTTGACTGATGAATAAATGGAGGTGCTGAGGACACAGCTCACAGGGCCAAGCCGGGTCTGCTCACTCCTTCTTCAGACTTCTCCATCCCACCTCAAGACTGACCGGAAGAGAAGTGCTGCATGTCCTGGGACCACCCAGCTCTCCTGGGTCCAGCAGGACTCCCCAGGAAGCAGCCTCTCTGGGAACTGACTCAGTCTCCCTAGAGGGTCTGCCCCCACCCCTGGTATAATTCTGTTAACATGACCTCCGGTGACTGGACATCATAGTCCCCCTGACATTCATTAACTTGATAGACTGCAAGGTCAGAAATAGGGCATAGGGAAGAAAGAAAGCCAGCACCCGCCTGCCTTCCCTCTGTGACAATGAACAAGTTGGGGTGAGGGAAGAACCTAGGGCCTGAGGGGGAAAGAGGTTTTTGGTTGGGCTTGGTCTCTCTGTGCCCCCAGGGGACGGGATGCTTACTGCCCCACAGGAAGCAAACAGACACAAAACCTTCCAAAAGTTCTTCCGGTTTCACATCCCACTTCCCCCAGGTGCCAACAGGAATAGCAAGCCAAGGATTCTCCTAACAGGGAAGGTACTGGCTTCACACTTGCAGAGAATTCCAAGGCATTGTTCACAGTCCGTCTCCGGTCAAAAGGCGGCATCCGTGCTGGTCACTCTCTGGAACAGGGAAGTTGCTGGGTCATTCAAATTTATACAGCTTGGATGTTTTTGGGTAATGAAATCTGTCCCCCTCTGTGTGCCTCAGAGGCAATGACCAGTATCTTGGAGTTGGTTGTACCTGAGCAAACCAGGATGGAGCTTCAAACTAGGGATGTTCGAGTGGAAGAATAACCCAGTCTGTTACAGCACCTTAGAAGGAGAACCCAGAAGGGCAACAAATGCAAAATGTCACTGTGAACTGCATTTTAATTAGAGGGCGCATCCTTTCTAAATGATTTCTTGGCTTAATTGGACTGGGCTCCTTTGTAAATAAAAGCTTCCTATTCATGCATAAAGGCTTGTCCACTCACTAGCTTCTAACACTCCACTTTCCTCCTAATCCCCTGAACAACAGTAGCACAACACTGGTCAGCCTCTCCAATGGCCCGTGAAAGGGACCCAGCTGAAAGCTCAGCACAAAAGCCCCCCCCCCCCAAAGGACGTCAGACCACATCACCGTTGCAGATGCACCCAGGTGAAATAACAAGCTGCGGTGGCCTTTCCCCCTCCCGTTTGAATGTAAAAACAGACCAGCACCTTGCACAGACCGTGTGAAATTTCTAGACAGGCATATAGTGTTACCGTCTGTAACTTTCCATGAGCCTCCTCAGGTTACCTTACATTATTAATACACATTTCCCGGCATTTAAAGCAGGGAAAATATGGGGTGCTAGGTGGTTATTTTTAATCAAATTCATCTGAGAATTTTAAATCCTAAAAACTGAGCCCCTGCTTACAGGATTTTAAGGTTTGAACTGCATTTGATTTTTGTGCTTTGGAATGGCAAACTTCACTTTCCCCTTTAAGAGACAGTTTCTGCAGTGTGAAGGATAACTCGGAACCAACTGTAAAAATCATTAACCTGCAAATATGAGGAACAGGACAGCAGTGACAGTGCATGACCCTCTGCAATTCTTTGAAGGCAGACTGGTCTTCACAGCTTCCTGCTCAGTAAAAGAAGCTCCACGTCTCCATAAAGACAGCACTCGAGCCTCAGCTCAATGGTGTTAGGATGGCAGTGACCCCAGAAATGGAAAGGTGGGTGAATGGGAGCATGCCCCGGACACTGGGAGCCGGACAGGCCTCTCTCACAATGAGCCAGGCTGTGCAGGAAGATTCCCACGCCATCTCTGTCACATGCTAACCCCTTCATGAATGGCTTGAAAAGTCTCCAGTCTGTTCTCTACAGCCCTTTGGGACTTGCCAAATGCGGGCTAGTGAAGCATCAGATTCTCAGGTCTCCCTCCTGCACCATCAAATTGGCATTTATTCTCGTAGAGAAACTCCCTGAACTCACAGCCCTAGGGCTTGAGCAGCAATCAAGAAAAACGCAAGGAGTCTGTGCCTTCTGGGTTTCTTGAATTCACCATTCATCACCATCCAGCATTCCCAGACTGTGGTACAGAGGGGTTCGGAGTATGCACCACACAAGGATGCCATGTGTGGGTCCCCCATCACCAGATGAACATGGGACTGAGTGGGCAGGTGTGCAGATTCTGGCTCCCAGCTGAAGCCCGAAGCAGGGCCTCACATGGGCACCCCAGGTCACATGCATCTGGGAAACTCACACAGAGTCATGGTTCACAGAACAAGAGTGGAGACAGTTGTCCCTTGTCCCAAGCATGCTCTTGACATCTTTGAGATCTTGTCTCTTACCTACCCACTACTACCAGAATCTCAATTTCCCCAAAACAGGGCTCTAAACCTGATACTCAGGGGCTGGAGCGGGGGTATGGGATATACCTATTGCATCCCCACAAACACCTGGGCCTCTGGCAGGTGCAGCTGGGCTCATGGGCAGGCTGCTGCCCAGGGCTCTAGAAAACTTCCTGGAGCAAAACTGAACCATCATGTAATATGTATGAACTTTTTAAAAACTTGAGAACCAAGGCTTTTTTTCTAACGCACAGTCCTGTGAATTCGGTTTGCCCGGCCCTTTCCACTCCCCTGCGCAGGCTCTCTATCCCCTCGTCAAGCCCAGCCCCAGACTCAGATCAGGAGTACTCTGCAGCTTCCCTTGCAGGAGACCTGATTACAGCCAAAGGCCAGCTGCCTGGCTTTTCTTCTGCTTCCTTCTCTCTCTTCCCTTCTTCGAAAGCTGGCCTCTCTTCCTGCCAGCTTGGTTAAACCCATCTTTGTTTCATAGGCCTCTGTACTTTCAGGGCTAAGAGATGATGCAATTGTACCTCACTTGAAGGTGACGTCACTGAGGTGCCTCAGCTTATACATGATAAATTCATGCTTCCAACCTCCATTGCCAAGTCACTGCATAGTTCTAGTCACTGCCCACCACACTGCCTTGAATGGCAGGTCACCATCCTCATTCAGCTAACCAGACCCCCAGCCTACAGGTCAGCTCTGATATTTGAACACCATGCCCAAAACCAAACAAAAACAAAATTCCAACTACCAACCAAGACAACCCTACCTTCTGAACTATTACCAGTTTACTAGCTCTCTTTCAATAATAAGGCCAAGAGAGGTGGGCAAAACCAGGGGTGCATAGGGCATCTGGGCACAGAGTAGCATGGTCCCAGCAACTCCCATATAGGAGGCACAGTGTTGCTGTTGACCATGTCCAAATCACAGCCTGATATTTTTGAGAAGACAAAGTACAGTTGAGTTTCCACTGGCCTGGAGGTTAAACCAGTGGCTCATCCCCTGACCTAGGCCCCGGTTTGTGAAAGCTTCCCCCTTTCAACTTTAGAACTATGAGTTTCTACAAAATCCATTCCACCTTTGGACTAAGTAAAAGGCAACACACCGGGGGATCAACATTTATCCCTGAAGGCCACTGGGTTTCACTTAATGCACTTTTGCTCCCAAACTGCCTGGCCAGGGCTGGGATTATACCAGGCCTGAGCCATCTCAAAGGCTCTGGGCATTTTACTGTTAGATGCACCAGGTCTGTCACCAGGGTCCCCAATCAATATACCTGGTACCTGTTTGTTCTCCTTTCAATACTGAGATTCAAATGACACTGGGTTTAGCTTCTTTGGTGTTTCTGACACCAACTGCATGGAGACTTAGCCTGTTACCAGACTGCACAGTCTGACCAGGAAAGCAGGAATTGGGGAATCTGGGTAGAAATGAGGCAGGAGAGGTGCCCAGGAGTTGACTCCCTTTGGGCAGGCTGACCACAGGCACATGTGCCCTGGGGTGAGGGGAAAGGATGACTTACGTGGCTCCTTTTGCCTTCTTCATCTCCCACAGATGTAATAACTGTCTCTGAAAAGACCGTCTGTCCGGTTTGGTTGTTGGTTATCTACAGTAGAAAGGGTACAGTGAACGTGAAATTGAAGGAAGTCCAGGAGAATCCCTCCAGTCTGTTTATTAAAATTGCTGAAGCAGGAGCGTCAGGGAAAGTGGCCAGGCTACTCACCCCTTGCTTTCTGAGCTCCATCAGCAGCCTGCCCTGAGAGTCTGCTTGGAGATGCTCACAGCAGCCTGGGTGGGGCACCAGGAGGTAGGAAGGAGGTGATGCATGCCAGACCCTCAGCGGTGCCCCCAAACGGCAGCATGTTCACCATTTTTGGTGCTCATCACTTGAAACTGAGTGTCAACTTTTTTTTTGGAGAAACTTCAAATCTGGGTGTCTACTCAAATGTCTTTCATGAGAAGCAAGCAAGTCTGGCCATGCTCCTGATACTGAGAATCGTATTCAGTTCATCAAGAAAGTGTTTAAACCCAACAAGGACTTTCTCTTTATCCCCTGTCTGTCATCTGCCTCTGATTCTGTGCCCAAGTGCAGGCACCCCAAAGCCCAGCACCAAGTGGAACCCAGGCCCTTCCTGCCCCAACAAAGGCCCTAAGGACTGTGTTGCCCTAACAGCTGGCAGATCTGTTCTCTGCTGACAACCATCTAGTATGTGGCCTGGAACAAGTCATTTCTTTTCTCTGATTCACAGTTTTCTCATTTCCACATCATCTTTCATGTCCCTGCCAGCTCTAATATGACAGAAGTCTGCCACCAGGACAAAGCGGAAACCCTTGGCCTAATTTGCAATGAGGGATCAAATTTTAGTTCTGAGGAGTTAAGGACCTTGTCTTTATTGCCACGCTTGTACATTTCTGCCTAAATAATTCTTGCCCACAGAAATGAGATGATGTCTTCTTTATCCATGCCCCTTTTATTTTGCAGGATTGATTAAATAATATCATATTTTTAAAAAATTCTAGTCCTTTATAAATGGGTTGTAGGATTTCTCAGAGCCTGATTACACCAATATGCATTTTTTTTTCATTTGAGGGATATACAATGCTTTCCAAATATATGTCACCCCTGTTCAGCTCCTCTTTCATGAAGTACTGCACAGGACGGTGCTCCACAGATCCCACTGGAGGACTACCACTACACTGTGCTGGTAACACAACTTCACTGTAGCATAGCAATAATAATAAAAAGAACAACTTGCTTTTGCAGGTCACTTTACAGTTTATAGTAAACTTTCATATACTTTAGATCATCTGACCCTCATAATACTATATACTGTAGTTGTTGATATCCTTGTTTTATAAATGCTGTGAGGATAACGTTAATTGATTTTTTAAAATCACTCTAGTTACTGTGAGGACTCAATGTGCAGGTATTTGGAGATCTATAAGAAACAATTTTAAGATACAGCTGAACCTGTTGGCTACTATCAGAAGAATGACTTAACATTGGTTTTGACAAGAATGAAATAATCACTTTAATGAATGATACCCAGTCTTCCATGAGTAATACCTAGGGATTCTGTTCCACTGGGGGGCTTGTTCATTTGCATGAGGATCATGCTCCACAACTGATCCATCTAGCTGGGCCCATCTCTAGGCAGTAGGAGAAGAGTCCCACAAAAGCCATTTTATAGATGAGGCAATAACATTGACTCCATTATGGTCTCTGGGACAGAAACCCCATTGTTTCAACCAGGTAATTACCTGGACACTTGAACAAATGCAAGACTCTTTAGTGGGAGCCATAATGACCTTAACTATAGGAGTTGAGATAAGATTAGAGGTCAAGCCCTTTGATATTCACAACAATGTCAACTCTAGAGCCTACAACAATGACCCTGAATATCTGCACGGCAGCCTCTTTAGCAGAACATATACAATAGTTTGCTAAGTTCTGTCCATATCAACCTAGAGACCTCTGGCTCTGTGAGCAGGTGAATTCTACATTCCTCTAGATCTGCAAAGCTTTTTTCATCAGGTCAGATGGGAAATGAACTTGCTTGCTCCTCATGCAAGATATCAGAACAAGAGACTAGACAGGTGTTTAGGTAGAAAAAAAATCCGATGCAGAAGTTTGAATGGATAACCAGTAAGTGAATGAATGTTTAAACTCGTGGCAGCAGAGGGTTCCCCTTCTGAAGGTGGGATATCACATCTGAGCCCCTCCTAGGGAAACAGTGAGGATCTGTTCACTGTAACAGGTCTCTATTTCTACCCCTCCTGAGACATACATAAAAACCTAAGAGATAAAAACCCTTCTTCTAAACTGGCAGGAAGCCTAGTGTGAAATCTATTGCTTAAATGCAAAAGTAATTTAGATCCCTGATACCTATCTCTTTCTTTTAAATAGTACTCACACTCCCTCTGGTTTTTAATCTGCATTTTACTATTCCCATTTGCATCCTTGGCTGTGTCTCAAATATGTAAATAGGACTGTAGTTCTCCAGCAGGACTGGGTGCCCACAGGAAGGAAGCAGTGCTGGCCACGCCCACACTTACCTTGTGAATTTCTCTGTGCACGTGGATGGTGTTGTTTCCCACCTTGGTGTCTGTGTTGGTCTCATTGTGATAGCTGGCAGGTAGGCTCGCTAGGTTCACTTCTGATGATGTCTTAGCAGCAGCCTCTTCTGCCTCCATCTATTGAACCAATGAATTCAGTGAGCACAATTGTTCTCTCTAGTTACAAATGGGAGACCATTAGAAAAAAAGAACCACCTCTTTGCCTCTTCTTCGATCACAAGGGATGATGACAATGACAGGCCACTGAGTTATGCATTAGGATAAGACACTGAACCAAATTCCTTATGTGTACTACAGCCTGCAAATCTCACTATTAGCCTAGGTGATGGGAGTTACTGCCCCATTTTACAAATGGAAAAACTGATGCTCGGGATGGTTAGGTAAATTCCCCACACTCCCTGGGAAGGGTGGAGCTGGAACTTGAGCATGCTTTCATTAAGCAGTCTTGGCCCCTGTTATCATACCATTGGTGCCTTGCTCATATCCTGGTGGCCTAACCTGGAGTTGCCTGGGTTCAGTTCCTAGGCATGCTTACAGTCAACTCTCTCTCTCCCCGAGGGCATTCTTTGGTCACAGAAGTGTGCTCGGTTTGCACAGGCCCAAGTACTATGGAATTAACACCCTGGCAATAGGGACAAGCTATGGGGTAAATACCCCAGCTTCTCCCTGTGCAAGACAATTCTAAGGTAGGTAGAATCAGGTCTCTCTCTGAGGTCACTCCGTGGGTTTGGACCCTAAATGCCCATAGCAGTAATCTTCTTAGGGCATATCCTTTATTGCCATTCTCTTTTTCCAACTCCCTTTCCCACTTCTTGCTAGGTTTTCTGGGGTCACCGCCAAATAAGCTGTTTGCTCCCAATCCTTGTTGAGTCTGCTAGTGCTGGTGGTGATGATGGTGGTGGTGGAGACCCAAAATAAGATAGTACTGAATCTCCTGCAGGCAGGCCCACATCTCTTGAGTATCCACATAGGATGCCCTTGCAGGGGGAGAGCTGACTAATTCCCCAGGATCCACTACTCCCTCTGGCTCTTCCTGAACATTTATTTGTCCTCTGGTATCACATTTCCAAGGTCATGTCATCAAATCCTCCAGTCTCCTGAGCCTCCATGACATCTCTATCAGATAAAACAGTTAACACATGCCTGTACTCAACTTCCCCTTCCAGATTTATCACCCTGCCCCAGCCCTGCCTGACAAGTGGTCAGTTGACAAGGTGACCCATTCACAGATGACTGGGCCTAAAGGCAGGCCACATATCAAGGACCAATCAGACACTCTCTCTAGGAATTTCAAATGACAGTCACAATGAGACTTTCTGGTGGACGGGGGCAACCTTCCAATACTGCTCTCCATGAGTCTGGGCTATTTTTATTCCTTAAAGCTAATCCTCAAAAAATATTTTCCTATTAAAAAAAATCTGTACTCTTTTTCCTTAAGTACTGGAGGAACCCCTCTTTTCCTACCTCCCCTAACCAGACTTGCAAAGCTGGACTAGACACGAAAAGAGGTCTGCTGGGAACCAAAGTTCAACTAATCAGAGCAGAACCTGGGGTGCCTGCAAGAACACGGAGATGATGCAGAGATGGCTGACACTCGATCGCTGGCTCCATCATAACAATTGTCATAATAACCACCTCCACGTATGGGGGGTATTGGCCATGTCTGAGCCATGGCACCAGATACCCTGAACAGGCCAACATTCACAGGGACCCTGTGAGGGTGGTGTTGTTTACTCCCATAGTGCAGGGAGAAAAAATGAGGTTCAGAGAAATCATCCATCCTTAGGAAGTGGCAAATCTTGAATTAGAACTCAGTTCTGTTTGACTCCAGATTATGTGCCCTCCCTCTTGTGTGGTTCTGCAAGCAAGTCAGGGGTCCAGAGAAAGGAGAAGCAAGGCTTCCAGGAGGAGTAGGCGTGATTGGACTGGTTTCAAAGAGTGAGTAGGATTTGGACAGGAGAGGTGTGAAAGTGCTGCAGACAGCACAGGCTAAGCTGAGGCAGCTGGACAGCTCGGTGGGCACAGGAGAAAGTGGTGGCTGATGAAGTAAAGAGGGGTCCACAGGCAGATCCACGGAGCAGCATTAAGGCACAGGATGCTGGCGTGGCTCTAAACCAAATGGGTACATTGGAGCCATTCCCCAAACTTTTAAAAACAGGCATGCCTGTACAACTAAAATACACCAATTAAAAATGTGGAAAAGTTTAGATCAAAATACAAACAAGCAAACAAACATGCATAACTGGGTCCTTTCCCAGACCTGAAAAATTGTAATTTCTAGAGATGGGACCCAGATATCAATGAGTTTCTAAGATGATTCGGAGGAGTCCCTTCCTCTTCAGCTGCCCCGACCTAAGAACTTGTGCTTCAGGCAATGGGGAGCTACAGCAAGTTCCAGACTAGTTGGGGAAAAAATACAAAAACCAGGAAAGGAAGAAAGTGGAGTCAAGGCACTGGCTAGAATCAGGTCTAGAAGAAGGGAGCTCTATCTGCAGAAGGGCTTGTAAAGAATCCAAATAAGTCTAGAAGGACCAAGCCATGGAGAGATGGCTACAGGACTAAGCAAGTAGTTGTTTCCAGTATTGTTAGGCAGCAGTAATGTCAGAGATCTTGAACTGGACAAGGTGCATTCAAGTTCACCTCTGCTCCAAAGTAGCCATGTGACATTGGGCAAGACACCACATCTCTCCAAACCTCAGTTTCCATATCTGTAAAACGAGGATGATCCTATTCTGTTGAGTAGATGTAGTTATGAAGGATCATGAAATCTAAGCACGGGTACAGTAGCTCTCACGTGGCAAATATGTAATATGTAGCTGCTTTTGTCACACTGGCCTGTGAGCAGCTTCAGAAGAAATTCCTCTGCCAGGAATGGGAGGAGCAGGCAGTAGATATGATGTGTGTGAAGAGTTGCCTAAAAAAGTGCAGAAGAAATAGAAAAGAGATAACTAGGGAGGGAGATAAGATGGGCAAGAAATGACTCTTTTTTTCCTCCCCTAAGCAAGAGACTCTGGCATATTTAGTGATGGAAAAGATATAGCTGAAAAGAGAAGGAACCTTAAGATGCCAGAGAGGATATACCCAGAAGGAGAAAGGAATATTTTAATGTTTTTTAGATTCCCACTGGAATCTGAATCATACAGCTTGGCTTGCAAATAATTGACAAGTTCCCAAATCTTGAGTTTGCTGTGGGCTGAGCTGACAGTCTTTTCATAAAACCTTCCCTCTCAGCTAGTGGTTGTTTCAACAGACTGAGCTAACAGTTATTTAATGGCACCATGAACGAAAAGTACAGTTTACAATGGAAATTTCAACCACAACCATTACTGCCACTAGCAAGAGAAACCTAAGCCTGAAGCAATAGTTGTTTCATAGAGGAGGAATGTGAGTGTTGTTAAAAATGGCATTTACAGGGGCTGGGGTTGTGGCTCAGTGGTAGAGCGCATGCCTTGCACATGTGAGACACTGGGTTCCATCCTCAGCAGCACATAAAAATAAAGGTATTGTGTCCATCTACAACTAAAAAACTGGCATTTACAGTTGGTTGAATCTGTGTCAGTTAGGTAGGCAAAACTGGACAAAAAAAAAAAAAAAAAAAAACCCAGGCTTGGTATTGGGGCTCTCCCTTGGGCTGTGAAGCATTAAAAACACTTGAAAACATACCAGTTACAGGTGTGGCCATGCGGGCAGGAGATACATGTATTAGTAATATATACAGTAAGACAGGAAAATAGGAACTTCCCAGATGGAAGCCATAAGAAGACTTGCTTCTCCAAATAATGATGCTACAAGGAGAACTACTTTGTGTTTTCCCTTAAGAATCATCAACAGCTAGAGGCAGCTGGACTATTTAAAACGCCAGGAAGTTACTTGAAAGCAGATTCATGATGCAACTATGTAAACAATTAATGCATCCAATCCAGGTCCTTTCTGTTTCTTCCCTGGGAGAACAACTAAATAACAAATATCCAGTGTTCATGGGATTTAAGGGGCTTTCTGGTAGTTTCTTTAAAAAACAAAACCAAAAAAACAACCAACAGCCACAATCCACTTAAGATTTATTATTTTCTGAGCTGGGGATATAGTGGAATAGTAACAGGCTTGCCTAGTATGCATGAGGCTCTAGGTTTATTCCCTAGTACTGAAAAACAAAATAAAAGGTATTTGAAAATTATTCAATTTTATTTTTGAATATTAAAAAATATTTTAAAGATATTAAGATATACATTCTTAAAATATTTTTTATTATTTTAGGATTGATTTTTAATACTTCATATTTTTCTCTTTTTTTTGTTTTTGTTTTTGTAGTGCTAGGGGTAAAACCCAGGGCCTTGAGCATGCTAGGCAAGCACTCTACCACTGAGCTACAACTCCAGTCCAAGACCTTTTAAAATATATTTCTAAGATAGGTTCTGCTGAGAATCTATCAGACACTGATAGTGTTTTGCTATTCCTCATACTACTACTATTAAAACAACAATAATGATGCCCATTATTTGATGACAAATGACAATCTTTCATAATTCTTACAATAAGCCTCATGAGGAAGAGATTTGTTTTAGATCTATTTTATTTATCCTCATTTTAGATGATCAGATAATTTGTTTCACTTAAAATCTCTTTTAATTCTTCCTTTAGCCTCGGGTTGGGCATTTTCTCCATTTCAGACCCTGGATCCCACCACTAAGAAGCAGCAGAGCTGGGTCTGGATGCAGAGAGGTTGGTCCTTCCTTTCATAATCCTGCCACCTCTCATCCTGTCCTCAGAGCCTGCAAAGACATTCTTCAGGAAATGACCACTGACTGGAGTAGATGTGACAGTCATGTCTCCTTTGGTGGAAAATTTTAGCCTGCCTATCTGTACAACTCAAGCAGAGCCATGTCTGGAGGAAGAAAGGATGGAGTCCTGGCAAAGCCCATGTGGTTGACTCCCATGGAGAAGATACAGCACTAAGGTCCCTCTGGACCCCACACTGCTCTGGATCAATGAAGATATCAAAGAGGACTTGGCCTCATCAGGAGTTAATATTAGAGAACCATGCTGCAAACTTATTTGATGATTATGGGCATTTTTCCACTGAATAAAAACATGGAAATGACCTAGTCAGTATTACCCGAAATCTGTGTGCAGGAGGGATAGTCCTTAAAGCCTTGATTTAAAAAAAGCAGATGTCCCACTCTGAAACCAGAAGGATCATGAGCTCAGTTTAATTTGGAGTTGTAGAATTATTAGTCATTTTGGCCTACCTAACTCCTCTCACCCTTTAATTGTTCCATGTCATAACTGTTTTATAATCTGAAGACACAGAAAACCCTGGGTCTTGGGATCTGGGTCTGTCCAGTAGATGGACAGGAGCCAGCATTTAAGATTGTGCCCAAGGGAGCTGGCACACTGGAGATAGCAGGGATGTGGGGAAGACTGACCCACCAGCCTGAACATCTGGTCTCTCACTGACTCCTTCATTGGGATGGCTGGCTCCTCTCCAAAGATAGGTTACAGCCAGAGCTGGGCCCATGTGACCATGCCTACCTTCCCAGGCACCAGGGACAGCTCCCCACACCTGGATCAAGAAGGAGGGTCCAGGCAGCCTTCTCCATGCTTGGGGCCCACCATAGAGGACAGAATAAGATTCCATCCACCTGTGTTTGTATATGGAAGGTTAGGAAAGGAAGAAGCCAAGAAGCAAAGTTCTGCTAGGGTATTTAGTATGTGATAATGGCTATAGAGTACATGTCTATTATTTGCCAAGATGCCCACATTAACATCATGACATCTAATTCTCACAGACAACTGAGGTTCAGTTTGTTAAATGATCTGCCCAATGTCACCCTACCAGTGAATGGCAGAGGAGGACCTGAGCCCAGGACTGACTTCAAAGTCCTCTTTGGTGGAGATGAGGTTGCCATTCTTATCCATCACCTTCTGATAATTTTCAAAGCTGGGACTGGGAATTTCCACCTTTTCTTCCCCACAATACATTAAAGGAAGCAAGACAGGCCAGACTGCCAGCAAAGCTCAGGGCCCTTTGTGTTTTTGTCCCCACACACCCATCCTACCTGTATCTTGGGAAGATGACACAAGCTCAAAGCCCAACAGACAAGCTAGAACTTGGAGCTGCCTGAAACTGCCTGAGCCTCGCTACAAAACCACAGCGCTGAAAAACACCAGGGGCCCTGCAAGCATCGCCTCCAGAAGGGGAAGACGTACTGCATACTTTAAGACAACTGCGGCATGGTGGAGGCAGCCTGCAGTCAGGTGGTGACCCCAGCTACTCCAGGTAGGGTCTCCTAGGAGACTCCTAGGACAGGCTCAGATCCAGACATTCTGGCAGGAAGGTAGAGCAAGAGAGCAGGGAGGAGGTAAGGATCACGGTATGCAGCTCGGTATGCAGCTCGGTGTCTGTTACAGGCCCTTTCGAGCCTCTTCGCCTATTGCCAGGTCCCTGATCAGCGCAGCGGCCCGCGTTTGCAGCCCCGCCTCCTCTAAGCCCACTCCCCGCAGCTTCAAGAGACCTCAGTCCAGCGCCCTCAGGGAGCACCCACCTCTTCCACCGCGCTGCGTAGTTTGTGCTGCGTGTCCTCCATCAGTTCCTCAACCTCACGGAACATCTCGTTGAGGGTGGCCTCCTCCTGCGGGTAGCTGAGAGCTGGGCCCGGCTCAATTGGAGCCGAAGTCGCCGTCGGAGTGGGTG